TCAAGCCGCTGTTGTTGGGAACATTTTGTTATCCAAACACGCAAAACAGTTTTTTTATTCCAACGTTGTGCTAAAAGTTGCTCCAACGGCCTCGTAGAGCATACTACCGGTAGTATGCGAATAGATATTGATTTCATATCAAAAATAGGTTCCGGTAGTGTAAACCTGTAGGAGTAACCTTTGGAAGTAATTTGCTCACCACTAAATTACAGCCACTGAAATGACGTAAATTTTTAGACATTGATTTGGCTATAAATAAAAATAAATCTCAAAACTTTCCCAATCCAGATTGGGATCGATCAACCTCGAAAAGTTCCCACAGACGATCCCATTTGTTTGGGATCGTCTGGATAAGCTCATGGGTAACTAAACGTTCCGGATGGCAAATTGTGAACCAAATCGACACACGAGAGCCGTGCCTCTACCGCCTGACATGAGTAACCGGAGCAATATTGTCACGGGCCTACTTCCCAAAAAGGATACGTTCTAGTAAGCGCAAAATGACTTGCACTGATGGTTGCCGCCACGTACGACAACTTTAAAATGTTCTCTGCTGCGTACAACCGTCCTCAGGTTGCTACACTCGATAGTTTACGTATAATTTAATTTGAAAGAACATTTATGTTCATGGAGAGTGACATAGGTTGGTAGAGGGTTAAAAAGGTGTGGTCACCGATCAAAAGGAAATAGACTGCATCAATATCATACACAAAACTTCAAATGAAGTTCGATGCAAAATTTAAACCCAGTAAAGCGTTCAAAATTAAATATTTCCGTTTATTTAATTCGCTTCATGTCCATGCCTATAACATATTTTGAACGCGTTCGAACGTTAGCTAGGCGAAAGCGATGCTAGGCGCGCAGCATGCTGCTCTTACTGCCAAACTGATTGCGGCCAAAAATCTTCAATAAAATCCGGATGATTTATTGGGATGACATTAAATAATATTTAATCAATGACTGCCTTTTCGAGAACAATAATTCGAGTATCATAAGATGCAATCAGTCTATACGTACAGTGGGTGCAAAAAGTATCCGACACAAAAGAAAGACTTTATGTAATTAAAGCTTATCTAACAAAATAACATAAACAAATACTATTATAAATTTAATTTACATGGGAAATACTAATATCATATCAAAACAACAATATCAATAAATGTTGACTTGATAATTGCAATTTTTTAAGGTAAAGGTTCAAATAATAAAGTTTTTCCTTTGTGTCAGGATACTTTTTGCACCCACTGTAGTATGCAGCCATTTGCGTATACACTGATGAGTAGTGTAGTGTCAACTAGTAGTGAGTAGTGTAGTGTCAACTAGTAGTGAGTAGTATCAACTCAACATCATCACTTCATCACAGTGAGTGTAGTGCCAACTTAACATCATTAATTCATTTACATGCAGGGAGCGTTTTTAGCTTTTTACTCGTACTCTGCATAAAGTTCGTGCATTCATATTGTAATTTTGTTTAAAATTACATTCTTTTCATGCGCTTAAAATCCATGAGTTGCTTGAAGAGGAATTAGAACTACTGAGCCAGTGAACATTCTACAGTAAAACAGTGAACATTCTACAATAATTTAGCTGCTGATATGTGAAGAATACATTAAAAATTCATCAGCTTGCAAGGAGCGGCAGCTCTGTTGAATGTGAATCATCAAGAAAAAATATTAAATTAATGGTTGCAAGACGGCCATTACATCGTTGGGAGACAAAAAAATGGCGTCGTGGAGAGCTTCCTTGAAAAAGAGGGAGGAGAGAGAGTAAGGCTGAGAGAATGATACAGCAATTTAGAAGCAGAAGTTCTTACTTAAAAACTTTGTTATTCCTACGAAATTTTATGCAAATTAAAAATTTTGAGTGAACCAAATCCAACTATTTTACACTATGAGGATTGTAAAATTAATGATGGATTTGACAATGGGCAAGCCCACTTGTGATGGGGCTCAAGCTCGTGAGCAGGAAAACAATGCAAAAAATAATAACTCCTCGTTATGCATAACAACTTATTATACATAATAACTCTTATATACACAACATAATTGTTATACGTAACAACTTGTCACACATTACAACATATTATACATGACAACTTAGCACACAACTTTTTATACATACCAACTTATTATACAAAACTTGTAAAGCACGAAATTATCTCCACCCTCGTAAGTGGGTAACCTCTCTGAGAAATTGGTTTTACGGGCGATATGCAACACGCTATCAGATAATACAAAATCGAAAAAAACGTGAATTATTCCTGAAGAATTACCAGGTCATAGAAGGATCATCATTATCCCCCGATATGCCTACTATATGAAAAAGTGTGAATTGGTGAATTGGGAGAAAGAATTCAAATGTAATTGGCACAGCCAACAAGAGGCTGGCACAAAGCATAAAAATTCACCGTACTTTGTCCGAAATCTTATAATAGTTACCAAGTAGACAAACAATGGCCGATATGGGCAAGCAATTCGAAGTTTCCATGTATGGTTTTCACGAATAGCTGACACTTTTTTCTTACTCAAGCACTTACTCAAGCACTTTCTTACTCAAGCACTGTTCCTTACACTATATGAACAGAAATTGAAACGCTTTCGAGTAATTTACCGAATTTAATTGTGCGTACACAACAGCCGCCAATACCGTAGAATGAAGATCGTTTGCTTTTCACATAGAATGAACATTTACAATTGAGTCTATGATCATTAAATTAAAAAGTCTAAGTGATAGCGCGTTAAAATAGAAGGAAAACATGAAAATAATGCACGTTGGAAGTAGAATCTATAACAACAATAAGACAATCTATGCAATAAAGTGTAAAGACAATTCAAATCCCTTCAATCTACTCGTTTAAGTTATCAATAAGATTGATTTGAAGCCTGATATCAGCTTATAGAGTCAAAATGTGTATGAATGAAGTGTTATGAACTTTTTTCTTCAAAAATTTCTATGAAGAAAGCCATTTTTGAGGCACAAAAAGCCCTAAACCGGCCAAAACTGTGGCGAAGAGCGACACTGCGTGTCGTCATACTTCCGTGGCACGTTTGCAGCCCCGTTGAAAGACTCAATGCGCCGGTAATTAATGCGAAAAAAATACCTTGGGAGCTCGTCCGTTTCAGCTAATTTAATGCATCTTCAGAATAAAAGCCTCAAAATAAAAAGACCTCCTGAAGAAATTCGAAGTCACCCGAAGGCTGAAAAACAGACTATAACAAAAATTCGTTTCCTATAGAATGATATTTTGTACCTTGAATTAAATGTTGTCACTCTCGATGACACAAGCCAAACACCAACCTCGCTTCAATCTTTGCCGAAACTATATAAACTGAGATCCAGACACGATCTAATCACGGTCACGAGCCGTGAGCTCAGAGGCTGTAGAAAACGACCATGAAAATTCTACTGTCTTGACGTGGTGCCACTCAGTTACAAAAATTTCGAACCATCGCGGAAGTAAAATTGAAATCCTAAATTCATAAACTTGATGGATATACGTTATTTACTTAAAAAACATTAAAATATTCTGAATCCATGCATCGTAACTTAATCCTCGTAAATAATTTCGGAACTTTATTACATTCGTTGTAGAGTCGTTCCGTTCAAATTCAAACAACGTATGGAAATTCGATTTCAGTCCCGTTTTGAAATTTGTAGGAAACCACTGCTTATCTTTGAATAAAATTAACACTTACAAAAGTGAACATAAAAACTGAAATTTCACTCTCTATCCTGCATTTTTATTATCTCGTGACTTTGCCTTAAAAAATTATTTCCAGGTGATATCCCGCGCTCGGAACATCACCTGGGGGCCTTGGGCAGCTGACCAAGCCCGTATAGGCACACAAGATTGATCAGCTTCTATATTTTTCCATCATCGGGCTACAAACATTTACAGATATGTAATAGATATTTTAAATGAATAGATTCTTTTAGGTGGATACCAAGAATTTGTGAAAAAAAGCATGAAGGTTCCAATTAGCACACCTACTCGAACAGAACATTTGAAGATGTATGAAAGACTTAGTTACGTTAAAAACGAATTATTGCTTGCCTTTGCAGTTTGCAGAATAGTAATTAATACTTTAGTCGTTGAGATTATACGCCTATCTGTATGTATCCATACGTAATGAACATATCACGCTTTGGTGCAACGTATCTGATTCGCCGTATTTCAGAGCCTGCATGAGGCTGTCCCGACTCCTCATGCAGATTATATGTATTTTATCTAATTCATAATAAAACCAAAGGATTGAGGTGCGCGATTTCCAGTTTAAAAAGTTTGACATTTTCATACCAGCGTCCAAATCAGCAGCCCTAACTATCGGAACGTGCTACGCGTAGCGGCAAATTTCTCGTATACGATTATAGTTCAGGCTGATAGTGATTGTTTACATTCGAAATTACAACTGTTTTTGATGGTATGGCCCCAGCTTCACTGCACCAGTATCCGTATGTATGCTAAACCCTTTAAGTCGGATAATCTATTTGCCAAGGAACAATAGAAGCTATGTATCCCAATGTATCCCCGGAAGATCAGGCAAATATATCACTTCAATGGACATTGCAGAAAATGGCTAATTACACTTGATGGAAATTAATGGTAAAATTTCATTTGCATCCCCCCGGCCCAGGCAGATACAAAGCTGGCAAAAAGTCACTGTCCTGATACATCAATCAAAAATACATGGATCACGAAAACTATGACAACTACATCATATAAAACTATAATCATGAGGATATTGGGCACGTTAGATATCGAAGCATCAATTTATTTAAGTATATCCACAAATGAGGCTTGAACGAAGTCGGCAAATCTAGGTTGCTGAAAGACTGCTAGGCCGCTGTTTGGCTGAAGCCCGATTGCAATGTCAGGACTGATTACTGAATCATTTTAGAGGCTAAATTCATTTTTTGTTTATCGTCCAAAAGCGTCATAAATCATTACCAATTCATAAATAGCATTCTACTTTAATGAATACAAGGTTATCTCAACTCACCCGTGACGCAGAGAAGAGACATAGTCTTCCACTATTGGGCGGTTGCTTCTCGATATTATATCAAAAGTGGGGGAATTGGAACATTGTAGGCCATCATCAGATAAACATTAGACACCATATATCACTTCTAACCATCATTCCCTCACACATCTACAACAAAAACAACAACTAAGCAGAGGAGGGAAACGATGGGGGCAAAGAAGACACCAGCGCACACTAGTTCCACACAACACGATGGTCTACATGGCACTGAAACGGTCAGTCGATCGCAACCCCTCCTTCCCGGTCGTTCGAGGTCGAGTTCACAACAGAGAATTCATATGCAATAATTTATTGCTCAAGAGAATAATCTAAAATGAATGTGCTGAATTGTGTCACAGGAATAACTGTCAAAGATTATGAACAATAGCTAAGCAAGTACGTCTTAATCTTGTACAAGACGTGCACGGTAAAATGTGATCTCTCAACAATACATACACTTGAAACCAGCATCATTTTTTTTTCAAAAATTGTGTTGTCGACATTTGTTGAATTTTTTTCTACTTTTTAGAGCTAATTTAATCTCGAATTTTTTTAGAGATAATCGGTATACTATTCTAGTGTCTCCGACAACCTTGAAGCTGAAAGTGAGTAATTTGTTTCGTGAACCTAATCTGCCCAGAGTTTCTGACGTCATCACTCCTGCAGCGCTCCAGATACTTGGCTGCACAAACCCCATTTTTTCTATCAATAATTTTGGGACTTTAATTCTCAGATATCTATGATTATCTTTGCGGGATATAACCCTAATTGTAACGAAGCCTATGATGACATGAGAGACGATTGTTTCGAAAACTTAATCAATATTGAGTTGTTACTAGCGACCTCTGGCGGACACTCTCTTCAAACGCCGCTCCACGCTACGTCCATGACGTCGCCTTTACAACCTTGCTATTAATAGATCACTGTTTCTGCTCCACTTAGCTCATCTGGCAGCAAAAAAACAGTGCAAGCATCAAAATGTAGCGATGACGAGTGCAAGCCTGTTTCATTTACATCTTATTATAATTAGAGGAAAAATTCTGAAGAGTCAAAGTTCATGGATTGCTTGATCCCACAAACTGCTTCGAGGCAATGAGAATTAACATATTAAGTCTGTTAGAAATTCGGTGGCGTTAAGAAATCTGGATTTCTGATGGCAATCAAAATAATCTAGGGAAATCACTCTCCAAGTTTCAATTACTACACACGACCATCGCTTATAAGGCAGGCACTGAGAGGCATTATTTTCTAACATTACATAATATCAACAACAGATATATTACATAACAACATAATATTATTGACATGTATTGGGGACAAGCTTATGTTTGTGCATTTCATGTTGTCCATTTGTTCATGTTATTGTTTCCATCGACAGGCCACAAATGAAGCATCTCATTTGATGGAGCCCGAAATGCTTAATTCATTAATCGGTGGTTCATTTGATGGTAGTCAGTTAAGTAGGAAAGAAAGTTTCACTTGAATAAGATTATTTTCATCACATACTTCACTTGAAGACATCAGAAATAGAACAAATTAAATCTCACATATACGTCTACATTTTGTATCGCTAGCATTTTTAGATAAGGTAGAAAATATATTGCAATCTTTTCTGCTCACATTATAAACTCACGAATAACCTTACGAACACATATTATCCATTATTGAATATTGTAATTATTCTTTTATTTTATTATTATATTTGAAGGCATGATTTCATCAAAGTATCATGTATAAAACTTATGGTGAAAAAATGTAAGTTTCATAGGGACGCAAAAATCATATCAATATGTGGTTTTCTTTCCAAGTCAGAAATGCATTCATCTACACTCAGAAAAATTTGGTTGTCGCCTTGTTCACAAATTGAGGCAGTTTCTTTCTCAGAGGACGAGCCGGGAGTGGACGTGGAACTGATACGCCCCTCTATTGGGCGTATCGGAAAACTGGGTCAGGATGACCCACGTATCGGAAAACTGGGTCAGGATGACCCACGTATCGGAAAACTGGGTCAGGATGACCCACGTATCGGAAAACTGGGTCAGGATGACCCACGAAAAGCCTTTGGCCTAAAATTCTCCCCGTTATACCCATGCGCCCAGTTATACCAAGGTGGAGTTTCGATCCCCAAATATTTCAGTTGTTTGGCAGGCTAACATGCCTCAACAATGTGTGCACTTTTTATAGATATCTTCAACGTTAATATAAGAGGTGAAATATGATGTTTTGACTCTTTAATTACCATTGAAAATAAAATAAGTTAACCACCGTTTGAAAATTTCTGTGATAGAAGCTCGCCCTCTTGGTGGCAGGACAAGGGTTATCTATATACCTATTGAAAAAGTCAAAACGGCTCCCCTGATAAAAATTTATAAATAAAAATTGCAGTTTGCCGTGCAACAATTAAATTTTTAGTTTCTTTACTAAAAATAAATTTATAGTTTCTTTAATTATAATTACATATAATTTCAGTCAGCCCTCGTATATGCATTTTGTTCTTTGGCTGTATAAATGGATTTAAAATAAAATATGCGTTTAAAAACTACTTTTTAAAGACAAAACTTCTGAACAATCCAGTGTCTTGGATGTTACACATGTACAATGATTTTCTAATTTTATTTTAATATATTAAAAAAATTATTTTTCACATTTTTTTAAGATATCGAAATTTTGTAAATTTTCAAAATTATTTATTCTGTCAATTGATTCATGCATTGTCTCTGACTTTATGCAATTGTGCGAAATTTCAGATCAATTGGACAGGTCAAATTGTGTCATATATGGATTGTAAGATTTGTAGTAGACGAAATTATTTTTTTACATTTTTTAATAATGAAAAGAAATTTTTTTATTTTACAAAATTATTTATTCTGTCAATTGATTCATGCATTGCCTCCAACTTTACGCAAGTGTGCCAAATTTCAGATCGATTGGGCAGGTAGAAGTGTGTTAAATATGGATTATACGATTTGTAGCAGAAAGACAGACAGACAGACAAACAAACAAGTGAAGTTAAAGAGAAGTGTTGTTATAATAAAAAGCTTGAGAATTTTCAAGTTTTACTCAATGCATGGAAGCAATGCATATTACATGGTCTTAATAATGCAACTTTGGCGCTAAATATACGAGTTAGATTGTGGAGTCCGCAGAATTCACTATATTGATCGAACATAATGAAATAGTATCCCTTCGAATATCTTCTATGAGATGATGTAGAAAACGGAATTCTATGAATAACACGTGTATTTGGGACGTTGGAGTCTTCAGATAATTTAGTTCAAAGACCGCCAATCGAAATAATCATTTAATTTAGAAAGCCATTGCCGGTCGGGCCATCATCTTCATTTGTGTTGCTGAAATCGGTCTAAAAAGTCAAGGTTTCGCTCGCTTCCTTAGATTTCGAAACCTTAACTCAAGTAAATATATTTTCCTACATATCACTTTGAAATTTGAACCTCAGTAAATTAATTTTCATATAAATAGATATTATACAGTTTACGATACAAATTTAATGGAATTCAATGTTTGCAAGTCCACGTCATCACGAAAAAGGTACGTTATGTCAAGCTTGACGTCTCTTCGGCGGAACATCTGACCGTACTGTGCCGCCCTCCTTATTTCAACAACAGTT